GGTGTGTGATCTTCAGAGCCCCACCCCCTTCTCCTGGACGCACGCCGTCGCGCGCATCGTCCCTTCCTCCCGAGGCTGCCGTCGCCCAGGCACATCCCAGGCGCTTCCCAAGGCGTCCAAGGTGCCGAGGATGGCTTCCAAGATGGCCCCAACAGGCCACGAGGCCGCCAACATGTCCCAAGAATCCTCCATGACGACTCCGGATGGCCTCGAGGCGGCCCAGTCCTCTAAGACGGCCAAAGACGGTTCTAAGGAAGCCTCCAGCAAGGCTCGAAGAGGCCAAAATCATTGAGTTTAACGAATGTTCAACGAATGTTTGAAAGATATTCGCAACCTTGCCTTTTCGAGGTTCCGTCAGCTCAAGACGGCTCACGAGGCCTCCGAGATGGCCCCACGAGTGCCCAAGAGGGCCTCAAAAATAGCCCAAAAGACCCCCAAGCTGACCTCAAGACAGCTCAAGAGGGCCACCAGACCACCCAGGAAGACCCCAGAGAGCCTCAAGTTGGCCCTCAAGAGCCTCTGGAGGGACCGAAAACGGCCCACGAGAACCTCTGAACGGCCGAAGACGGCCCCACAACGGCCCTACAACGGCCCCAAGAGACCCCCCCTGAGGGCTCGTCAAGAAGTGAAGACGAAAGGTGTCACATGTGACGCCTCCTCTCCTCCTCCTCCTCCTCCTCCTCCTCCTCCTCCTCCTCCTCCTCCTCCTCCTCCTCCTCCTCCTCCTCCTCCTCCTCCTCCCCCTCCTCCTCCTCCCTCCTCCTCCTCCTCCTCCTCCTCCTCCTCCTTCCACCTCCATCTCCTCCTCCTTCTTCTCCTCCTCCTCCTCCTCCTCCTCCTCCTCCTCCTCCACAGCATCATCATCATCATCATCATCATCATCATCATCATCATCATCATCATCATCATCATCAGCATCAGCATCAGCATCAGCATCATCATCATCATCATCAGCATCATCACCACCACCACCACCACCACCATCGTCTTCATCATCATCATCATCATCACCACCACCACCATCATCATCATCACCACCACCACCACCACCACCACCATCATCATCATCATCCTCATCATCATCATCATCATCATCATCATCATCATCATCATCATCATCATCATCATCATCATCATCATCATCATATTCATCATCATCGTCAGCATCATCATCATCATGATCAGCAGCAGCCGCATCATCATCATCGTCATCGTCATCGCCATCATCATATTCATTATCAACAGTATCATCGTCATCATCGTCATCGTCATCGTAATCTTTATCATAATCATCATCATCATCATCAACATCATCATCAACATCATCATCGTGCTCACGATCAGCATCAGCATCATCATAATCAGCATCAGCATCAGCATCCTCATAATCATAATCATCGGCATCATCATTAGCATCATCATCATCACCCATCATTAGCATAACCGCCATCAGCACCAACACCATCGTCATCATCAGTGTCATCATCATCATCATCATCGTCATCATCATCATCATCATCTTCATCACCACCAACAACATCATCATCATCAATATCATTATCATCATCGTGAGCAGCATCACTATCATCAACAACAGAATCAGCATTAGCATCAGCATCGTCAGCGTCATCAGCAGCAGCATCATAATCATCAGCATCATCAGTATCTTCACAATCATCGTCATCGTCATCGTTACCATGTCATGGTTTCGAACAGTGGCCACCGAGAATGCTGGAATGACACGGCGGCGGGACTTATCGCAGGCAGCTGGAAAAGATACACAGCAAGCTGCTGGAAAGAGGTACAGGTGAATGCCTGCATAAATCAGCTTCGTCTCGTGGTAGACCACGCGCGTGCTGAGGCAATCAAAATAAGACACCTGGACATGGGCCCGTGTTCGTGATCCTCACATAGTGTAAGTCCGTGTTGGATCAAACTTTACATACAATTACAGCGCCCCCATGAGTCTCAATGAGCATTACTGATTAACTGAATGAGCATTGGTGAACCCTTTGCCCACAAGAACACAAATGCACAATACATAACAGGCTCCTTTAACCCCGCCCCCACTACCACACCAACCAAATCGCAATTGACACCCAACCATGCTTTACATCGCATGCGGCTGCAGTGTGTGATGGGAACCCTGCAGGGAAGGTGGTCGAGCCCTGACCAGCATACTTGCATTCCAAGCCAAGCCCCGCTACCGAACGCGTGCCTCAGGCTTGGGGCTAGCTGCTGAACCTGCTTGACTGTGCGTATGCGGCTTTGAAGGTCCTACCGCCAGCTCGTGCACGAGAATATCCCTTTGCTGCGGCGCGAAGCCCCCACAAAACTACCACCATGTCCACCGCACCATCCCCCCCCGCCCCACCCCACACCCAGCCGCAGCGGGGGACAACTGAGAAAACCCCACTGCACCCACCGGCACAATCCTTCTCCCACCCGCATCCCCATCCCCGCTCCCCAGAGCGCACGAGCGCAGCCTGCCCTGCACAAACCCTGAACCCAACACGCGCCACGCGTATGGCAACTGAAAGGCAGCCACCATGGCGGAGTGAGGGACCGCATGCGCGCCGCACGCGCTCCAACGGCATACCTGGGCACGTCCAGGGCCGACGGACAGGTCTGTAAACAAGAGACCAGGCCAAGTTCTGAGAAAATTTGGCAGTATCAAGTCCAACGTTCAACAACAACTGTGAGCCAGCGTGGACCACAAGCCGTGCGGGGTTGCTGTGTGAAGGTGAAAGCCATGCGGTGAACACTATGCGCCGGAAGCTATGTGTAGTGAGCAGACGAGATGAGAACCGTGCGGTGCAAGCTGCGAGGGGTAAGCTATGTCGTACAAACTGGGTGGTGTGCACTGCACTGGAGGTGAAAGCAAGGTGTGCTGCTGTGCAAGCCATGTTGTGTCGTATGTGCGGTGCATGCTGCGCGGTGCCAAGCTGTGTGCTGTAAGCAACGCGGCGCAAAGCTATGCCGCGTCAGCTCAGAGCACGAGGGCGCCCGCGAGGCGGCACGAGCGGCAACGTGGCGCAACCTGGGCATACCCCCCCCCCGCGCGCGGGGCGCCCGCGAGGCGCCCGCGAGGCGGCGCGGGCGGCGACGTGGCGCAGCCTGGGCACAGCCCCCGGCGCGGGGCGCCTACGATTAAGTCGGGCGTGTCCCCCTACAGGGGGATTTTGAGCGAGAAATCGCAAATACTCAAAGGATACCCCCCTAGTGCTCAAAGATTGTCAAAAAATCGTCCCCTGACTATTTTTGAATATTTTTGAATATTCTCCCTGTAGAGGGACACGCCCGACTTAAGCCTACGAGGCGCCCACGAGGCGGCGAGGGCCGCAGCGTGGCGAAAGCCCGGCATACCAACCAGCGGCACTGAGGAAACCGAGCACGAGCCCCTGCATGCAAGCACTGGTTGGCGCGAAGGCAAAAGGCAAGCACACATGGTATAGTGACAGGGGTGCGAGGAACCACGTAAAACCGACTACTCCCAAGATCGGGCATGGGCAGCACGTCTGATTCAGAACACTTGTCACATGGCTCGTGAAAGCTCACCCGCTACCCGTGACGCGAGCAGAGCAGAGCAGAACACTCGGGCCTGCAACTTTCTCTGTGTCAGTAACTTGTTGGCGATGTATGATATCGCCACCAGCTGCCAGGAGCACAAAGAAGGGACAATGAGGAGATGTCAAATGAGGAGGCGGTGCTATCCTCTCAACTAGGCCTCCAATCCCATCCGATCCTTTCGTCACAGCTCCCAATGATACGTCTCGCGGTCCATCATGATCCCCGCAATCCCCAATCACAGTAAACATAAACACCACCACTCCACGGCAACGTTAAGCCCCGTCGCCATTTAAGCCCCATCGTCATCCTCTCTTGGGCGCCCGAGTTATCCGGGGTAACTCGGGTCCGGGGTAACTCGGGTTTGGATTCCCGAAAAAGGAACCCGAGTTATCCCTGACCCGAGTTACCCCTGATGATTCGGGGCTCTTGGACGCCCGATTTATCCGGGGTAACTCGGGTCCGGGGTAACTCGGGTTTGGATTCCCGAAAAACGAACCCGTGTTATCCCTGACCCGAGTTACCCCTGATGATTCGGGGCTCTGACTCTCCGTCGTTTCTAGCAGCGTCGATTCAAAGAGGAGGGGCAGGGAGGCGAAAGGAAAAGCAGGCCAACATCCGCCAGTCGTCCCTCACGCACCAACTCTCATCGACGGACGGCGAGCACAATGCCCAGCGAGGTTGGCCAGACTCGTCCGCCGAACTCGGTCGCGCGACGTGGTAGGAACAAACCGCTCCAATCGGGGAGACGTAAGACCCGGGTACGGGGGACTCGGAAATCCCCGACGAGGTCGTCAAAAAAATAACGAGGCCGAGCCTGCATTTTGACGAGGCCTCCCGCTGCAGACATCCCACAAAACTCCTCCTCGTCAAAATCCGAGTCGCGGTCGTCAAAAAACGATGGTGAACCCGAGTCCTGGCAAACCCGGGTCTTACGCTCCCCCGATCCAAGATGTCCGCGCAGGGAAGCGGCATGTACGGAAGCGCCCGTACCGGGTCGGGCGAAAGGGGGGGATAGCAAAGGGGGGGGGGGGAGAATCAGCTCACGTAGCTGATTTTCCCGGCGCCTCCCGGCGCCGGGGGCGGCTATGTATCGAGGAATGGGCCCCTCGGTGAGGCCGAAACCAGCTGCATGCAGCAAATTTCGTAACCCCCCCTTTCCCAATCCCCCCCTTTCTTCCGGCCCGACCGTACCCCTCAGCCCCTCGTCGCCGCAGACGCCAGATGCTGCTGTGCACCGAGGGCCCCGCAAGCCCTTGGCAAGCGGTGCTCCTCTCGTGCGCCGCCGCCGCACGCAGGGCGCGGCCGGGCAGAGCCGACGTGCCGGACCCGCCCTCCCATCGGCCTCCAAGGGGCCGGGGGGGGGGGGCACGAGCTCTCCCGGGCCGCCCCCGTGCCGACACTGCAGGAGGAGGAGGAGGAGAGAAGGAGGAGGAGGAGGAGGAGGAGAGGAGGAGGAGGAGGAGGAGGAGGAGAGGAGAGGGGAGGAGGAGGAGGGGGAGGGGAGGGAGGAGGAGGAGGAGGAGGAGGAGGAGGAGGCGGAGGCGGGGCAGACCTCACCGAGAGGCAGCAGACAACCAGTGCGCGCTGTGGCGGGCACCTGGGCGACTACCCGTCGGTCGGAATCGGTAGGTAGAAACATGAGGTAGGAAAGCGTTGAAAGTAGATTGGGTTCCGTCAGCCCCCGTTGGGAGGACGGAGATGGTGAAGCCACTCGATCACTGAAGTAGGAAGGCGCTTCAAGTAGACTGGAATGTGGGACTCCAAAAATGCCTACTTTCAACGATGTGTAGAGAGGGCAGGGAGTTTTTGGCGAGGCGTACGCCCTCAGCCTCGGGAGGCGCTCGAACCCGCCCGCGCTCCCGCCCGGAAGCGCACCTAATCCACGAACTTGTGTGGCGCGGGCCCGAGGCCTCGAGGCCGCCGCGATGTTCTATCGGCTCTGCTCGCTCAGGCCTGCATCCCAACTGATGGGCCAATTTTCCACCACCACTACCATAGGTAGGACGGGGGAAAATGGAGGATGGGGAGGCCCTCCTCCTCAAGAGCCTCCTCCTCCAACTCCTCCTCCTCCTACTTCTCCTCCTCCCCCCCCTCTCCTACCTGTGGTAGTGGTGGAAAATCGGCCCATCACCAACTCAGTCGGATGGCAAGCCAGCCCTCCAGGCTGCCGTTCAGCCCTCCCAGGATGCGTGGCATTGCTTGCATAAGAACGCCGAGCTCGCAGAGGCTGCACCGCCCAGCGCCTAGCCTCGGAAGCCAAACACACACACACACACACACACCATGGACGTGCTCGCCGCCTTCAGAAAGCAGACGTGTGCTGTGCACGCTCGAGGCAGCGCCCCACCTTGTCCATATACACGCCGTCAGTATCCCGCGCATTGGCTGCAAGCGCATCCCACGCGCCAACAGGGCAATACTCCCTTGATAGTTTGACGTCCTGGCGCCCTAGTGTCACTATCGTGCGTACAGTCGCCACCGTCGTCCTCATCATCCAACGCGTCGCAGTCGCCGTCGTCATCGCCGTCGCCGTCGCCGTCGCCGCCAGAACCTTCATTTGAACCAGAAAACAAACGACACCACCGCATGCACGGCCCCACGGGGCTTAGCTTACTCCAGAAGATCAGGAGTGGATTTTTGCGTGGTATACGCCACGATGCCCGATGGGCCGTAGCGCAACATGGAGGGCCACATGTGGGGTGGTGTCGTTGTGTTGGCCGATCATTCCTAATGTGGCACCCCACCACTCTTCGGTGGCAACTCATGGGAGCCTCCCGTACCATCTTGTCGGCTCTTGCGAATTGACGCTCATCGACGCTGCATCGACTCTAATCGACGCTAAGTCGACGCCAATCGACGCCAATCGACGCTAAATCGGCGCTATCTCATCGACTCTAGACGCTGATCGACGCTAATTAACCGACGCAAAAGACGGAATTCGGAGGGTACCCCAGGCTCCCGCGCCTTGCTACCGAACCACTCCTTTGTTGAAGCGAGCATTTGTTTCATATTCGGCGTGTCGACACTGGGCGGAAAGGGGGGGAGGGGGGGGTTCGGCTCCAGCCCTCTGCTTCATGCGACTGTTTGCAGGAGTGCTGCCTCTGGGGGAGACTCCGCCCGCTCGAAACAATCACCAAAAAACAGCCGAGATCTGCTCCATGGGAGGGGGGGGAGGTGGGGTTGGGGGGCCCGCGCCGATCGGCAAAACAATGAGTAAAAAAACGATCACGAGCCTGCACCGTGCCCGCCCTGCGACCGCTGCTGCTTCTTTTTTCTTGCCCGGCACCGCGCCCTCTCGGCGAGCAGAGGCGCAGAGAGAGAGAGAGCCTGGAAATGCCCGCAGGGCACTGCAATATGTTGCAGGATTCGGCCGCCTCTCTTCCGTGGGCGGCCAGGAGGGGGGCGTCCAAGAAGGGAGGGGCGCAAATCATGGCCGGCGGCATGTGCGCGGCCCCTGGGGGGGTGGGGGGTGGTCGGGGACGTATAGTAGGGGCTCAGCCACAAGAAACCTTCCACAAGAAACCGAAAGAGGCATCCACTAAACCTGAGACCCTGAGACCCTGAGACCCCCCTTGGTGTGGGAACGTCACGCTTTCCATTGCAAAACCATCTAAACCTAAGAAGAAACCCAGGCCACCCTGGAGGCAAGCAGGGTGTTTCTTGGCATGGGTCTCCACTGCATTGAAATTAGAAGAGGCGCCATGAGATCTGAGAAGATGTCATGGCCCACGGCATGATGTCCACCCCCCACCCCTAAATCACCCCCCTCTTGGCCGCTCGCGGCTCTTGCGAGTCTCCGCCTCTCCTCCGGGCTCACGCCGCGTCGACCGCCAGTCTCAGGAGCGTCTCCTGAGGAGATCAAGGCAAGACAGAGACGGCTGCATCGGCCTAGGGCGGGGAGCCCGCTGGAAAGGCCCGCTCGGGTCCTCCGTCGACGTTCCGACGGATAGAATGGTGCTCTAAAACCTGGAAGGAAGAAAACGTGTCCAGAAGGAAACGGGTACTGGATCCAGAGGCTGCTCCCTGGAACCAACTATCTATCGTGAGCCGCTTTCTGACAAACTCTCGGGGCATGTGGATGGCCCAGGAAAGCCAGACACGGCGAATCACTTCAGGACTCGTCTCTGCAAGGACCCGCTTGCTCCACGAAAATCTCGAACACCATAATTAGCACCACAGCTGGAGCCATAAGCATTGAATCGGGAAATCGGATCGGATCGAACTGTGCGTCGGATCGGGCTGCATCGGCACGAAGTCGAAACCGAACTGGATCCGCCGCGCCAGGATGCACAAGAGCGCCATGCGAACATCGGGCCGCCTGGGACCGTCGAAGTATCAGAACCGAATCAGATCGGCCAGCCGTGATCGACATCGAAGCGGATCGGCTGGATCAAAGTGGGCCCCACACGCGCACGGCCCAGCTCGAAGTCCGCTCTCGGCGCTTCCTGCTCGGGACCCTCCACGGGTCACCGGCGCGGCCACTCCTTCGGTTTGGACGCCCGAAATGGGCACGGAAAGAATGGGCACAATGCCCAACAGCAAATGTTGTCCCAAACCAACAGCGGCCGCTGTGGGGCAGGCGGCCTTCTGTCTCGAATGGACACAGGCCGCGGCGGCGCGGACAGCGAGTCCTGTTCAAAATGAACAGGAACTGCTGTTGGGCATCGTACCCATTCTTTCCGTGCCCATCTCGTTCGTGCAGATTCGGGCCAGGCACGGCGGCGCCGCCGAGTGCATCCCCTCCTCCCCCCCCCCGGTGGCCAGAGCAGGTCGAGGGGAGGGAGCGCATCACCACGGCACTGCGCGGCCAGGAGGCAGGCCATGCCTGTTGGGTCACCGGCCAGGCACGTCGGCGCCGCCGAGTGCATCCCCTCCTCCCCCCCGGTGGCCACAGCAGGTCGAGGGAGAGGAAGCGCATCACCGCGGCACTGCGCTGGTCCCTCCGGCGCAGGAGAGGAGGCGCGCGAGGAGGGGGAGGAGGAGGAGCGGGCAGGGGAGGGAGGGGGAGGGGGAGGAGGAGGAGGAGGAGGAGGAGGAAGAGGAAGAGGAGGAGGGGGAGGAGGAGGAGGGGGAGGAGGAGGAGGAGGAGGAGGAGGAGGCAGGCCAGGCCTGCTGGGTCACCTCGCGCCGCGCAGCGCGCCCCCGGGGGGCCTAAGATATATCTCTGTGGGCCCCTCGCCTTCCTCCAGGCTCGCCGAGCGCGCCAGCTGCAGAAGGGGAGCCTGGATGTTTCCATGGGCTGCCATGCTCCTCCAGGCTCGCCGGACATGCCAGCTGGGGAGGTGCAGGCCTCGGAACAAATTAGCGAACACATGCCACATTAATCCGTCAACGCCTCCCCCAACGCCTCCCCCTCCCCCCAATGCTCAAAGTTGGCGGTGGGTCTGATGAGATGCACTTCGACCGCAGTCTCCCCCGCGCGTGCCAACATTGAGTTTGGGGGGAGGGGGAGTGTTCAGTAATTGTTTCCCTCTACCGTACTTAAACCCGCTGATCACTGCACCGAATGATGAAACCACGGTCATCGAGAGCCCAGCTCTCAAGGACGACATCCTTCCGCTCCGCGGAGCGGGCAGGGAGGCAGGGGGTGGCTGGCCTCGTGCATGCCCCCCCAACACCCGTGCGCTCGTGGAGCAGAGGTGCTCATGTCCTGACAGGAGATACGTCTGCCCCTATCCCAGGCTACGTGGGGTTTTCGAGTGGACCAGAAAATTGGGGCCCAGCCCAGGGATATACGATGGGGGGGCGTCCATCCTCGATGGGGGTGCGTCCGAATAGCCTCCTGGGGGTGTGTCCCTGTTTTTCCCTCCGTTGCTGAGCGGCTTCATTTCGGCGGCGGGCGAGGGGGGGGAAATGCGAAGGAGAAGGCCGTCTCAAAAGGCGGTGGGACTTCTCAGAAGCCCTAGCGCCTTCTGATAAGTTGTTTTGTTTTCGGCGAAGGCTTAGAAAACTTCTCAAAAGGCTGGGGGACGTCCGAACCTCCTGGGAAGGCCTTCGCCTTCTCACTTCCCCCCCCAGCTCGCCGCCGATCATTTCTGGTCGAAAAATCGGGGGTTGTGGAGAAAAATCCTGAAGGGTTGGAAATGAGCACCACCACCCAAACCAGGGGTTGCCTCCACCGGGGCAAGATGGTCCTAGATCTTGGTGTTGATGTGATCTTCCGGCCGCCCGGGAAGCCCGAATCTTACCACCATCGCCGAGATCGGGCTCGTGCACCATCGGTGGAGGAACACCGCCGATATACTGGCGCTGGTGACGATTTCTAGGCCTCCGAAAATCGCCTGCGATGTTCCACCCTGGGGCCACAAGTCCACCCAGGTCGGCCCGCGGAGCCGTCACGGGCAACCTCCTCCAGCCCTCGCCGCCCTCTGTTCCGGGGAGCGCCTGGCCGTGGCGGCGAGGAGCCTGCACCGCCTTTTTGCTCCGTGATGCTACCTGGCCAGTCCTCGAAAAGTTGCTCCAGGGCGCCTCCTCTCCTCCTCCTCCTCCTCCTCCTCCTCCTCCTCCTCCTCCTCCTTCTCCTCGCCCTCCTCCTCCTCCTCCTCCTCCTCCTACTCCTCCTCCCCCCGCCCTCCATCCTCCTCCTCCTCCTCCTCCTCCTCCTCATCCTCCTCCTCCCCCTCCTCCTCTTCCTCCTCTTCCTCAGCCTGCTCCTCCGCCTCCTCCTCGTCCTACTCCCCGCCTCCCTTCTCCCTGCACCTTCTGCGCCAAGACGCCCAAGATAGCCTCCAGAGAACTCAAGAGGCCCCCAAGACAGCCCCAGGGGGCCCCAAGAGAAGCCCCAAAGGGGGAGAGAGCACGAGCCGACATTTCGGGCCCTTCGCCCAAGGATAGTCCCCGAGACCGCATCCCCCCTCTTCCACGCCCTCAACCTCCATCACCTGCCTCCTCCATCTCGTTCCCCCATCCTTCACAGCTAACTCCTCCCTGTCGCACCCGCAGACGTGTCGGTGGGGCGGGCTGGGCGTTTCGCCTGAGACCTGCTCACAACTGGTGCTCCCGAAGCGAAAACTCTGCAACAGCTTCACAGATGAAAGGGAGCCGCTTTCCAAATGTGGCTCTCGCCTTAGCGCCGTTCACATTCGTCTTACAAGTGTGCAACAACTTCACGGATGGAGGGGGTAGTTTTCAATATGTGGCTCTCGCCGAAGCGCCGCGCAGGTTCGTTGCGAAAGTTTGCAGCAGATTCACGGGCAGAGGAAGGATGATGTTCAAGGTGTGGCCTTCGAACTAGCACCGCGCACCCTCGTCTTCACAGGTCGCCACGGTTTCACGGATGGGCGGCGGTTCCTTTTCGAAATTTGGCTCTCGCTACAAAACCACACATTCGCATTACCTGTTTGCAGCAACTTCACGGATGGAGGGGCTGGCGTGTTCAAAATGTGGTTTTCTTTTGCACCGCGCACATCCTTTGCAAGTGTGCAACATTGCACATACAGAAAATAGGTCGTTATCAAAGTCGTGCTCCCGCCGTGATTGCGCACATGATTTGCGGATGCAGGGCAGCTCCGTCTAATTATGGGGCTATCACGTTTGCGCCGCGTAAACTCGTTTTCGAAAACAATGTTTAGCCGGATGGAGTTCTCGACTGCGACTTGATAGATTTGAGAACCCAACACTTCAACGCAAGTAGCGCTGCACGGATCCATGGCGGATGTTGTAAATTGAGGTGTCGCTTGAGACTTCCACGGAGCTCATGAGCACAAGGGTTAACCTGCTCAACCGTTACAAAGATGGGGGCGGTCCTTCGTCGAAAAGGGGATATCGCTGGGTTCCTCACTACACGCCAGAAAAGTGCGACGCAATTCCTTTTCAAAACGGGGTCCTCGCCAACATGGCAGGCCCAATTGTGCTGGTCTGTCAAGGGGGGCGCTTCTTGTAGTGAAAAGACAAGCTTGTAGGGGCGTCCGAAGCGGGGACTTGGGAAGGGCGGGTGTATTGCAGCATCGCTTACGCATCGTTAATTTACTCTGGTCCTCCTCCTCCTCCTCCTCCGCCCTCCTCCTCCTCCTCCTCCTCCTCCTCCTCCTCCTCCTCCTCCTCCCCCTCTCATCTCCATCCTCCTCCTCCTCCCCTCTGATCCCCCTCACCCTCGTGCCCGACACCTCCAATCTTGTCAACGAGCAAGCACCTCACTCGTCGGGAAGGAGCCCGAGTCGCTGGGCTTCGCGAAAGTGGGAGTGATAAGGGAGGGCTTGGCGAATCAGCTCACGTGGCTGAATTTTCCCGACGCCTCCGGGCGCCGGAGGCGCCAACGCACCGAGAAGAGCGCCAAGCAGCGGGGCCGAAACCAGCTGCATGCAGCAGATTCCGCATCCCCCCTTTCCTCATCCGCCCCCCCCCCGTCCGACTTGCGAGGCGGGGATTTGTCCAGATCCACCACCTGGGAACCGACGTCCTGGTGCACCAGCGAGCGGTGGATATGGAAATATAACTCTATAGATAGATAGATAGATAGATAGATAGATAGATAGATAGATAAATATATAGATAGATAGATAGATAGATAGATAGATAGATAGATAGATAGATAGATAGATAGATAGATAGATATAGATAAATAGATAGGCCCATGGAGTGAGAATATGTCCATATCCGCCGCCTGCCGAAGCCCCCGAAAATTGATCCTCAGGGCGGTGGTCGCGGATATGATAGGCCTGTCATTCCACCACCACCACGATAACTTGGAGGGGGGAGGGGGTCCTCCTTCCACTCTTTTTCTTCCTCCTCCTCATCATCATCCGCCTCCTTCCCCCCATCCAATTTACGGTGGTGGTGGTGGTGGCGGAAGAAACGGCCGATCATATAAATCCCCGCCTCGGACGACTCAGACTTCACTGAGCGCTGCCCAGCGCCTTCGGCGCAAAGTTCAGGGCCTTCACGTGGCTGGCCCGCGCACGGGTGGGCGCGGACACCCCGGCGACGACGGCCTGTCGAGAGCCAGAGGGGAATGCGAGAGAGAGAGAGAGATGAGGCACGGGAAATGACGAAAGAGGTAATCAGAGGAGGGAGGAGAAAAAAAAGGGGAGGGATGAGGGAGCAGAAAGCAGAGGGCCGATCAGAATGAAGAGGAGGGAAAGGAGGAGGCAGGAGGGAAGGAAAGGAGGGACCGGGGACGAAGGGATGAGGGGGGAGGAGGGAGGAGGGAGGAGGGAACAGGAGGAAGGACGGAGGATGGATGACGGGGCCAGGAGTGGGGAGGGAGGAGAAGGGAGGGAGCACGGAACAAGGAGCACGGAGGACAGGGAGACCGAGGAAGGGAAGAGAGACACGGAAGGAGAGAGAAAACCGCCTCCACCCTGCATCGGAAGCGCTGTGGATCCACGCTGGTAGGACAATAGGCTGCCGAAGCGTACCGGACAAAATCAGCAGCAACAACAACAACACCAAAAACACCAACAACAACAACAACAACGACAACAACAATAACAACAACATCAACAATCAATTTAAGACCGCTCGCTCATATCTGATCGTGCTTCATTCAATATGCATGTCCCAAACCCTGGATACCCGCCCTCTTCGTATTCGATCGTACCCCCTTTTGGGGGGGTACATTCATTCCCTGCCACGCGCGGTCGGCGAAGCCCTTGAAACGAAGGCCAGATAACGGGGGAGAACGCGGACGAAGGGATGGGAGGGAAGGAGGGGATGGGGCAAAAAAGGAGGGAGGACGACGATTTGCGCTGCGAGCGGCGATTCACCTTGCGCCATGGCTTGCGCCAGCCACTCCACCACAGGGTTTCGCCCTGGGCCGCGCCATAAACAGCGCCGCGCACCACCCCCTTGAAAGAACAGGTCGTGGATACCCCCACGGGCGGGGCGCACAGCTGCGAGCTGGCGTCAGAAACAAACGTCGTGGAACCCTGAAAAGGAGCGGGACGTTGGGAGAGCGGGGTGGGAGGATAGCGAGAACTGCAACCGCGTCGAGAGGGGCGCGGGGGCGTGAACTGGACTGGGACGGAGTGGACAAGAGTAGGGTCTCAGGAGGAGGAGCGGCAAGGAGTGGAGTGGAGGAACCAGGAGCAGCGCGGAGGAGCGGGGGGCGCAGGGAGGAATCTGGATGAGGGGCTGGGAATAATTTTGGAGAAATGCGGAACGCGAGCGGGAAGGGGTGGAGATTGTTGGGGCGGGGCGGGGCGGCCTGGGGAGGAGCGTGCGGAATGCGAAGAACTGAAGAATAGCACAATGGAGTACGAACGACATGAAAATGAAGATAAAGGGAAAAGTAGAGAAGACTGGGGAAGAGCGTTGAAAAGTGGGGGCAGTTGGATACGAGCGGAGACTGGTGCGGAAACAACGCGCGGGGGGATTGGAAGGCACCCGAAAGCCTCCTATGACCTCTGGGGGCCTCGGAATGGCCCCGATGACCACCGAGCAGTTCCAGAGGCTCCAAAATCTGTGGGAACGCCCCGGGGGCCTCGTCGAGGGAGGCCTTCATTCGAAGCCTGCAAAAGAACCTGGGCCAGTGGAGCACGCGCGTCTCAAAGGCCGGCAAACCGGGCCATGGCAAGCGGCGGTCCGTCGGCCTGGCCAGTGGCAACGCTGGCGATGCACACACCGACCCGCGGCAACCCGACCCCAAGATGGACAGACAGCGGGCTCACCGCGACGACGACGACCACGACGAGAGGAGGGAGGAGGAGGAATTCGCTTGTATCCACGGGGTGGCAAGAGGGAGGAAGAGGAAGGAGGAGGAAGAGGGGGAGGGAGGAGGAGGAGGAGGAGGAAAGGAGGGAAGGAGGGAAAGAGGGAGGAAGGGAAGGAGGAGAGTGAGGAAGGGAAGGAGAAGGAGGAAGGGAGCAGCGACGGGGCCGCTGAGGGCAGAAACGGGGCCACGAAGGGCAGCGAGGGGGCCACGAAGGGCGACAGCGGGGCCACGAAGGGCATGCATATGGGGCCACGACGGGCGCGAACGAGCGGGGGCCACGAAGGGCATCCGTATATGGGGCCCACAAAGGGCGACAGCGGGGCCAGTGAGGGCAGCAAAGGGGCCACGAAGGGCAGCGAAAGGGCCACGAAGGGCGACAGCGGGGCTACGAAGGACATGCGTATGGGGCCACGATGGGCGACTGCGAGCGGGAGCCACGAAGGGCATTGAATGCGGGGCCACAGTAGGGAGCGACGGGGCCACTGAGGGCAGCAACGGGGCCACGAACGGCAGCGAGCGAAGGCGACCGCGGAACCAGTACGGGCAGCGAGGGGCATCGAAGGCGGGCGAAGGGCACCGAGGGGCGACTGCAGTCCCTAACGGACTGATCGGGCGGGCAGGCCCAAACGGGCGGGTCGTGCGGGCGGGCCGTTGAAGCCACGCAATGTGTAGCGGGAGCGCGATTCCTGAGCGCCGAGGAGCAGCATCATAATAAATTGTGTGGAAGTATCAGGCGGGAGCCGCGATTCGGTTGTAATTGGGTAGTCCCAAGCGAGAGCGCGATTCTTCAAGAAATTGCAAGAATAAGTATCAAGCGGGAGCCGCGATCCGGCGGTAATTTGCAAGGAAGTCCCAAGCGAAACCGCGATTCTTCAATACATTGTGAAAACGTATCAGACGGGAGCCGTTGTTGTTGTTGTAAACCGGGGGCCAACGACACAGTTTGACCCTCAAGACTTCCCCTGATAAACAACAGGGTGCGAGCCCCGGGAAGGTCATTTCGATCGAAAAAACAATGTGCACCGGACGGGGGGGATCAACAGTAATTATTCTTCAGAAAGTGAGAGCTCAACAACAACAGCAACAACAACAACAACAACAATCACAATCACAACCACAACCACAACCACAACCACAGCAACAACAACGACGACGACAACGACAACGACAACGACAACAACAACGACAACAACAACAACAACAACAACAACAACAACCATTTTAAGGTACGCTCTTACTTGCCCGCGGGTCATTCAACACGTATACCCTACACCCTCGATACCCGCCCTCTTCGTCTTCGATCACACCCCTTTCGGGGGGATTATTTCTCTTTGCTGGGGCCGGCGGGCTTAGACGTACGGGCAAACCGGAACGGGCGGACAATCCTTCGGGGGCGTACATCTCTCTGCCCGCCATTGGAATTGGCGCGGGCCCTGCAAGAGGAGGAGGGGAAGAACGAGGGAGAGTGGGAGGAAGGGGAGGGGGAAGGACGAAGGAAGAGGGAAGATACCACGTTGTGAAGGCGTCCTTGGCGCGCGCGTGGTTCCTGAGCGCCGAAACGCAATTCCAGAATAATTTGTGAGGACGTCGCACGCGAGAGCGCAGTCCTGAGTACATTGTGAGGAAATCTCGGGCGGGAGCGGGGGCCCTGACTAAGTTGCGAGGAAGTCTCAAGCGGGAGCGCCGTTCCTGAGCAAATTGCACGGAAGTCTCAGGCGGGAGCGGGGGTCCTCACTAAATTGCGAGGAAGTCTCAGGCGGGAGCGCCGTTCCTGAGTCAATTGCGCGGAAATGTCAGGCAGGAGCGGGGGTCCTGAGTAAAATTCGAAGAAGTCTCAGGCGGGAGCGCCGTTCCCACGTAAATTGCACGGAAGTCTCAGGCGGGAGCGGGGGTCTTGATTACATTGCGAGGAAGTCTCAGACGGGAGCGCCTTTCCTGAGTAAATTGCGCGGAAGTCTCAGGCGGGAGCGGGGGTCCTGAGTAAAAATCGAAGAAGTCTCAGGCGGGAGCGCCGTTCCAACGTAAATTGCACGGAAGTCTCAGGCGGGAGCGGGGGTCTTGATTACATTGCGAGAAGTCTCAGACGGGAGCGCCGTTCCCTGAGTAAATTGCACGGAAGTCTCAGGCGGGAGCGGGGGTCTTGATTACATTGCGAGGAAGTCTCAGACGGGAGCGCCTTTCCTGAGTAAATTGCGCGGAAGTCTCAGGCGGGAGCGGGGGTCCTGAGTAAAAATCGAGGAAGTCTCAGGCGGGAGCCGTTGTTATTGTAGCCCGGGGGGCAGGGGCACAGTTTGAGCAGGAAGACTTTCCTTGAGACAAAACCATGTGCGAGCCCCGGGGGTGGCACTTCAATCGAAAAAAATCAATGTGCACCGGTGGGGGGGGATCAACAATAATTATTCTTCAAAAATGAGAGTTTAACAACAACAACAACAACAACAACAACAACAACAACAACAACAATAACAGCATTCATGTTCAGACTGTTCGTTCTTATCTGCTCGCGTGCCAGTCAACACGAATATGCCGAACCCTCGATACCCACCATCTTCATCCTCGACCGTACCCCCTTGGGGGTATATCTTTCTTGTCTGCAACGTGTATGTCGCGCAGCCTCTTAGGCAGGGGAAGAGAGAACGGATGGAAGGAAGGACAAGGGGGAGGGAGGAGGATGGAGCACGGGCTAGGAGCAGAAAACGCGTGGCAGAACCAGACGGGCAGATCGGGCGGGTAGACCCCACCAGGCGGGACGGGAAGGAGGGCCCAGGCGGCCACTTCGAGCAGGCGGGTTGCTCAAGCGTGCACCCTGCGTGAATCGCGAGGAAGTCTCGAGCGACAGCTCGATTCCCAAATCAATCGTGAGGAAATCCATAGCGAGAGCGTGACTCCTAAATGTTCAGGGCGCGGCGTCTGAATAAAACGCAAGGAAGTCCCATGCGAGAGCGCGATTCCTGAATACGTTGTGAGGAAGTCCCGCGCGAGAGCGCGATTTGGGAATTCGCCGGCCCAACGGGCCAGAGGCGTGCTAAAATCTCCAGTAACTACTTAACAATATTTCTAGTTCGCGCGCGCGGGCGGCCCCTGGGGGCCCCCGGACGAAAAGTACCCTGGTCGATCCCCGGCCGGGTCCTGGCTGGGTCCCGGGCAATCCCCAGGGGGGAGGCTATTTTTCGCCACCCCTCACAAGGATCGTGGCCTCCGAGGGGGTGGCTGCAATCGACTACCCCCCCTCCCGCCCCAAGGGGCCCCCAAGAGCCCCCTAAGAGCCCCCTAAGAGGC